GCTTCCAGAGCCCTCGGAGCGCGGTGGATTCAGGGAGAGGGAATCGGCCTCGCTTGCACTCTTGGGACAAGTTGCATCGGTTTTCCCGCTCCGACCCAGACAGGTTTTGGGGCAATCTTGGGCCATTTGGCAGTTCCAGCGCCTGTTTGGGTTGTCTTGGGAATGTCGTCGATGTCCAGTTGGTGGGCATACCTTTCCCTCCCCCTCCCTCCCCCTTCCTCTGACCAGTCGGTGCTCGCAGGCACGTTGAGACTCACGTCCTGTGGTGCTCTGTAGCTGTTGCGGTGCTCTGAGGTCCTTTCGAGTTCTGTGGTGCTCTGAGGCTGTTGCGGTGATCGCCAGCCTTGTAGCGCCCGCAGGCGCTTCGGCTCAAGCCGTTCTTACTTAATGGGCTCTGAGGTGCTCTCAGGCTTTGAAGTGGTGCTCACAGCCGTCCTGGTGCTCATGGCCATTGGTGCTTAAAACCACTGCAGCTGCCTTGTGGCTCAAGTCTTATAGGGAGAACCGTGCGGACCTTGGCACCTGTCACTGGGAGTACCGTGCACTGCAATGCCCACAGATCCCTCTATACCGAGGCGCCGCTTGCGGCAGAAGACGGACACGGGGTACGTGGTGCCGTCTCCCCCAGTCCCGTCCGCAGGCGTGGACGCCGAGGCCGTCGAAACCAAAGCCATCCGGGACGCCTTGAAGGCCGTCTTAGTAGGCAAGGACTTGAAACACATTTCGTTGCGTGAGTGTCGCCGCCAGGTCGCTTTGAAACTCGGTTTGCAAGAGCATGCTTTGGACCAGCGCAAGCACGAGTTCAAGAGCCTGACAACCGAGGTCGTTTCGGAAACGCAGCCCGACCAGGACGCCGCGTCGCCTCTGGAGACCGTGTTGGCTGAGGCCGAGAAGCTGGACTCGTTGCAGTGGGTATACTTGGTGACCATATCGCGCGTCCTGGACGCGACCCTTCCCGACGGCCGCCAGTGCCGCGATCTTGGCACGATGAGCCGGGAGGACATCGGAAAAGCAGTGGCCGACGCATTCAACAATCCGATTCCGACTGGGTCCGCGGGCGGCCGCACTGCCGAGCGCTCGTGTCCATGGCGGTGGTGTTCCAGGAGAAGCACAAAGACGGCGCGATCCATTTCCACGTTGCTGTGAAGCTGACTAGGTCGGGCCGTTTCCAGCAGGCCAAGCGCGCTCTGCGCGAGCGCCATGTGTTGCCGAGCCATTTCTCTGGTTCCCACCAGCGAATGCGGAGCGCCGTGAGGTACGGGTATATGGAGACCCCAGCCAAACCAGATGTCGACGACGCCCCGTGGGTGTGGCAGCCAGACTGGGCCGGGTTCGCGCGCGAGAACGACGCCATCGACCTCTTCGAGATGTCGCAGGAGCCATGCATGGCAGGCGTGTGGGCGAAGCGCAGGGAGGCCACGGACAAGGCGGCCGGGGCGATGGGCACGAAGACGACGTTCGACCTCGTAGACTTGACTTCGACCATCATCGCCAAGCACTTGTGGGCGAAGGGCAGCCTGATGGCGTACGTCCAGGACCGCGGGACGAAGGCCATGCAGCGGTTCGTCCGCAGCCGAGTGCGCAAGCTGACGGCGGACCTTGAGGAGACGAAGGAGTGGGCGTCTGCCCGCGAGAACGCGGCCTTCGAGGCGGTGGACGATTGGACGCTCGTGTGCCGCTGCGCTGAGGAGACATGCCCCCGTGGCCTGGCGTGCTCGTACAGGTCAGCCGTGGAGACCATCTTCTCCCGCAGCGCCGCTTCTTTCGACGTTCGGGAGCTCGCGGCGTCTCTGCGGGACATTCTGATGGTCGGCCCGAAGAAGACGACGAGGGTGCCCTTCCTGGTGGGGCCGTCGAATTCCGGGAAGAGCACAGTAGTTTACCCTTTCGACGACTTGTTCACTAGCCTGCCTTGGGCTCCTCCTTTGGACTCCGGAACCTGGCCAGCGGCAGGAAGCGGTTCATCTTCTGGGGCGACTTCCGGCCGGTTGAGTTCGCCCACGAGAAGACCGTCCCCGTCTCTTTGTTCCTGTCTCTGTTCGTCGGCCAGCACACCGAGATCCAGGTTTCCCAATCCTTCCACGACGGGAACAAGGGCGTCTGCTGGAACCACGGCGCCGTTTTCACGGGCAAGCTGGAGGGCCTCTGGGAGACGACGAATAAGGTGGGTGCGGAGGACATCCGGCACACGCAGAACCGCGTGAGGCAGTTCCCATTCACCTCCGTCTTGTCGGACGGCTCTTTGCAGGACGTACTCTCGTGTGCTCCGCGCATGACCGCGTGGAGCGTCCGGGAGGCGGCAAAGTTCGACGCCGTCGGCGTTTTCCGCCCGGCGCCCGCTGCGCCGGTCGGGGCAGACGCGGGCGTGCCGCCTGTGAGCGGCTTCGACGACCTCAAGTCCGACGCGCGCATACCCCGCGCGCAGGCAGACGCCTTGCTGGCGGATGTCCGCGCGATGGGTGCGGTTGCCGTGGACGAGGTGCTCCCCGCGGACTGGGTCCGTCTGAATTCGTGGGCCTTGCTGCTCCCGCTCCAGAAGCGCAGACTTCTTGGGCAAATCGGCTCTCCGGTTTCGCCCTGAAGGGGCGCGCGGGCAGCGCCGGGGGCTTCCCCCCAGCGCTCCGCCCCACGTCTTTTGCATGCTCGCGAGGGTGCGCGTGCGGTTACCGCTGGCGAAGTCCAGTTGGGTTGCGCACGCCCGCCTCTCAGCTTTTGCGCTTCCGGAAGCACGCGCGTGCGGGCACCGCTGACCAAGTCCACTTGGTTTGCGAGCGCCCGCCTGTCAGCTTTTGCACCCCCGTGAGCACGCGCGCGCGGGCGCCGCTGGCGCCGCCCAGTGGGGTTACGCGTGCGCGCGCGCGGCACCCGGCAGCGCATCCATCGTCTTTGCGCGGAAATGACGCCTCGAAGGGGTAGAAGTGCGAGACGAGGTAGACAGGGCAGAGTGGACGGAAGCTGCAGGGGAGAGTAAGGGGGGCCATCAGCGTTGTGTCGCCACCGGACGATTCCGCACGGGTGGCGTCGCGTGAATAGCCTCGGATTGCGTGTCGGCGTGAATGCATGCATGCACGTACGTGTATGCATGGGTGTATGCACACATAGGGGAAAGGCATATGGATGTGCAAATAGGGTGTACAAACACACTTATGTATACACGTGTATATGTACATATATATTTATACACATACAACATATAAATATGGGAATACACATACATATATATATATATATATATGTATATATATATGTGTGAATGTACAGCGCTGTGTCACTATAAGACGCTCGTGGGGGGTACCGCCGTTTGCGAAATAAACGCCCATCTTAGGGATCGAAAACAATACGACGAAGCACGCCCCCTTTCCCCCGCATTTCAAGGTTGACGGGGAGGGCTGGGCAGTCCAACATATGTGGGCGTTTATTTCGCAACGCTTCGCACTCCCCTTCGGCGTGTTCGGTGGCCAACATTGAAATGCGGGGCGCGGGGCGGGGATCTCGGTACTTCCACACGTGAGCGTTTATTTCGCAAACGGCGGTACTACTACTACTACTACTACTACTACTACTACTACTACTACTACTACTATTACTACTACTACTACTACTCTACTACTATTACTACTACTACTACTACTACTACTACTACTGACTACTACTACTACTAACTACTACTACCTACTACTACTAACGACTACTACTACTACTACACTACTAAATACTACTACTACTACAACTACTACTACTACAACTGCTTTACTTGCTACTGCTACTGCTACTGCTACTGCTACTGCAACTACTACTACTACTACTAACTACAACTACTACTACTACTACTACTAACTACTAACTACTACTACTACTACTACTACTAAATTTTTCTACTACACGACTACTACTACTAACTACTACTACTACTACTACCACCACTTCTACTACTACTACTACTACAACTACTACTACTACTACTAACTACTACTACTACTACTACTACAACTACTACTACTACTACTACTACTACTACTACTACTCTGCTGCTGCTGCTATGCTGCTGACTGCTGCTGCTACCATTACTAAGACTCGTACTCGTACTGCTCTTAACGTTTCCTACTCGCGATCCAAAAGGTAATTTGACTCCTCCTAATCCTCCTCCTCCTCTTCTATTTCCCTCTCCTTTGTGTTTCTCCTCGTCGTCGTCCTCCTCCTCCTCCACCTTCTCCTCTTTCCATACTTCCCTACTCCCTTCCATCCTTCCCTCCTGCTCCGCCTCCTTCTGTTCCTCCTCCTCCTTTTCCTCTTCTTTCTCCTCCTCCTCCTCCTCTCCCGTATCCTCCCTCTCTTCCTCCTCCTCCTCCTGATCCCTACTTCGGTTCTGTACCCCCCTCTCAAATTTTCTCTCCTCCTCCTCCTCCTTCTCCTCCTCCTCCCCCTCCTCCGTATCCCTCCTTCCCTCCGTCCCTACCTCCCTCTTCCCCTCACCCCTTGTACACAACAGCCTGTTGTCTATATACCTCCCTGTCCCCCCTCTCCTCCCACCGTCCTCGTCCTTTTCCGTCTCTCCGTCCCCTCTCCCCCTCCCTCTTCCTCCACCACCTCCTCCTCCTCCTTCTCCTCCTCCTCCCTCTCCTCCTTACTCCGTCCTCGCTCCACCCTCCTCCACCCCCATCCCTCCTTGTTGCTCGTAACATCCTATCATCATGTTCCGCCTCTTTCCTTCCCCGTCCTTTTCCTCCTCGTGTACCCTCCCTGATATTCCTTCACTGCAAACCATTCGGGGGAATAGGCACGGGAACGATAACGATGTTTCCCCAGACCGATACGCCCGACGCGAACGCGAACGATGTTTCCCCAGACCGATGCGCCCATCGCGACGCACGCCCGGCATCGATAGTACGACCACTCTTCTGACTCAATCACCCTCGTCATACTGAACACCCCACTTGGAAGGTACTGGCCGCATCAGTGACGAGGGAAGGGTTATGACAAAGTTCGTGACATGGACTATCAAACATCCGCGTCGGTCGGATGGGAACAGGCACAAGGAACCGAACTGTCAAATTCGGCATAAAAAATGTGCTCGTAATCGCAGCCAACGCGCGTGGAACTTCAGTTACAAATATCAAATGACCGAAGCGGTCGAAACTCATCTAGGAATCTAGTGCATCATCATTTTCGGTAACAGTTTCAAACAGAGAGGGGTGAAGATGTAGAGATTGCCAACCGAACGGGCGAATGCGCTCCACCACCAGCCGTCCTTGCGTGACCGTCGTGGTCGACGGTCCACAAAATGACTAAGCGGTTTGCGGCGTCGCCAGGGTCTCCGTAGTCCGTGCTCACTCAGGCGTCCTTGAACTGCTCGATGTCGGTCCAACAACCGTAACGAGCATCGGTGTCAACATGGCCCTTGGCATTGCTGGTCTTATTGGTAACTGAGTCATGGCAACCAGCAGCTTCCCAGAAGAAGGTGTGGTCAGGCGCGCGTGGGTGACGCGGGAAGCGAGGACTGTCGTGCCTCATGCGGCGGAGCTCGTACGCACTGTCAACGTTAACCAGCCAGCGGCTGCTCCTCAACCACGTGTCAACGACGCGACCTGGTACCATCACCGGCCACAAAAAGAGAAACCTTGCGATAGTTCGCGCGGTGCCGAATGCCCGGAGCACTGCCAGACGATCTCTGGCGGATCCAGGTATGCCTGGAACTCGCCCAAGCTAAACGCCTCGATGGTACCGGACTGTTGGTAGAATGCCCCTGGAGCATCGGCGATCTTGAGGAGATACTCGGCTCACTCTTGGGCGGCAATCCTAACGGTCATGGCGCCCTTGGCGATCTCCCTGCAGTTACTCCAAGACTCCTCGTACAGTCCTTAACGCCGACGACGAACGGGTCCTCAGGCCAACACGCGCCAAACCAGGCAACGACGAACCCCAGCAACTTCTGTTCCCCAAAATCTTGCACGTCTAGGATGTACATCTGCGACTCTGGTACATGACCCGGGAGACCCGCGCGCGAACGGGCGGTGGAATTCGGGCGCAACTCGCGGCGGTAACTGGGCACTGATAACCACGGGGATATTTGGATTATGGTCAAATGGCCTCTGCCTATGCTGCATGCTACTCGGCCTCGTGCCCAACGGGCTCGGTCTGCCACGCAGGCGTGTCCTCTAACAACACGATGGGCAACTGCCACTGTAATAACGCTAGAAGCTGCGAGTCGCCTGGGCTAACATATTGCGCGGGTTCGAAGATGCAGCGGAAGTGGCGTCGCGCATGTCGCCGTTAACGGGTGGCTCATAATAACCGTAAAGAATCGCAATTTCTCGGGCCTCGGGATGGCGCGGGCCACGTTGCGAGCAACCTGCTCGCTCGTAACAAGCGCCGCTGCAAGTGGCGGACTGCCCGCCCGACTTGGGGGAACCGCCCCGGCAGCGCCCCCAGCCGCCGCGGGGGCCTCCGCGGGCTCGCTGGATGGAACCATGCGCTGGCGCGGCTCGGCCCGCAACTCGCCCGCCCCCTGAGGCAAGTTCACTCGGCTCGCTGATGCCCCCCACCTGCTCGACGCACCACGGACCGCCTCGGGCAACGGTTCAGAGCTATCGCTGGGGCCCGTGCCGCTGCCGCGGGCGCAACGGTCGCTCACCCTGGACCTGGCGTGGCTGCGCTCCTTGGCCGACTCGTCCTCCTCGGCAACCTCGGTCGGCGATCGGGTCGGGAGCGGTGGCCCAGACGTCATATTATCGGATAGCGACAAAGACCGCGCATAGTCGACAATCTCTGCGATGCTGAACTTGCCGTGGGAGATGCGGTCGTTCATCCAATGCGCACCGCCGGATATCTCTCCCATTTGAAATGCAACGTCGGCCCTGACTTGCAGAGAGCCGGCTCGGGCGAATGTTGGACAATCCTCGAAGCGTGACTGGCTGACTCCGCGACCCTGGCCATGTCCTTCGAAATCTTGAAAGAGTTAGAAGCTCGTGCGTCCTCGTCGATGTCCTGCGCCATGTTGAGCTGGTTAGCCAGGTCTTCGAGCAGTTCCCTCGTTGTTTTGGCCTCGAGCCGAGCTCATTTCGAATATCGAAGAATCCTCTTTGACTCTGAAGACCCTGATACTGCCATTGAGCATCCCCTGCAACGCCGCGCCAAGATCCGCCATTATCTGCTGCACATCGGCAGGATGCGCAGCTTGATTTGTCTATGCTGGCGCGGGGGGAGCGGCAGGCGCGGCCCCCGTTCGCGCCGAACCCATGGCCCATGCGATGTACGATGAACTTCCACGTGGCCAGGCGTCCCAAAATATGATATGGGGCATCTTTTCACCCGGGCGGCGCGCGACCGCGGCGGCGGGGCCCTTGCCCGCCAAGAACGTCGTGCGCTCGGGGGCGGGGCGGCCGCCAGCAGCAATGAAACGGCGAGTCGTTAGAGTTTGGGAACTGGGGGGTAGTAGTAGTAACTCCAGGACCTCACGCGGCCGCGGACATTCAACACTCGCTGGCTGGTGCTAGCCGGTGCCGACCTTCAAGAAGAAGCCGACTTGCGTCACGCACGCGCCCCTTAATAAATATGTCGTTGCCAACAGATTTGGTTGATGTA